CATGCATACATACACAAACACACACACATACTTACATACATGCATACATACATACACACATACTTACATACATGCATACATACATACACACACACACAAACACACACACATACTTACATACATACATGTATTCTTTGTTTTGTTTGCTTGATGTTTTATTCTCTTTTCTTTACTTTTTTCTTCGTAATTGTACAGATAGGTAGGATTAATTCGTAAGTTGAGCTAATTGAAGATAGGTAGGTGAGTTAATTTAATGAACATAGGTAAGTTAGGGACTCTATTCTTTCTTTCTTACGTTCTAGTTTATTTGTATTGTATTGTATTGTTTTTTGTTCAACACAACATCAACAACAGCAATCAAACACAACAATCAACATAATATTATTTTCGTTATATTTAGGTTAAGTTGTATATTATTTCTAGACCTTCGTTACTTATTATTTCTAGACTGTCGTTTTATTATTAACCCCCTCATGAACGGCTGCCTTGACGTGGCGAGGGGGCTTCTCCCTAAATGCCGTTCAAGTTTGTGCTTCTCCTCCTTCACTTGTTTGTTTTCTTAAAAATGCGATTCTCTATCATTTTGTTGGTTGCATTTTTTAGCGCAAATACTCTCAAACATGGGTTATATTAGGATTTGCATGTATGTTATGTGTATAACATACACAAACATACAAACAACGGTACAGCACAACACACACAAACATACAAATGCATACATACAAACGAGCATTTATTTTTCTTGTTCTATTTTTCTTCTTGCTAACTTTTTATTATTTTAGGTAGGAGTAAAATGGGTGAGCCTTGGCTTATGTTAAATAAAAGTTTTGAACAAAATTTATTGCTCGTAGGTTGGTATCTTAACTTTGAATTTTATGTTACGAGTTCGTTTTTGTTTTGTTGCACGCACACTCGATACGCATACGGTGAACAAAAACGAACATGGTGCTATCATACGAACATAGTATACAAACATGCATGCTGGTCGTCTTCTCTATTTTTTGTACCAGTCGACATTGTTATTTATTCCATATTTATTTGTTAAATAGTTTTTTTCAGAACGCTGTAATTGTGAAAATTTTTGTTTAGAAATTTCTCTAATTTATTCAAGCGTAAACACGCACACAAAATTCAAACACATACATTCACAAGTTAAAAACACACATACATACTTTAGTGGTTATATTTTTTTAATTTGTCTATTCTGCTCAATTCTTTCTACTTTTTGTAATATAAAATCACAAATATAAAGTGTAAAATGAGCTGTGCTAACAACTCACTGTTCCATTGTTCCATCATTAATTTATTTAAACACCACACACCATCATTAATGATCATCATAATTTTAAGTCTGAAAAATTGGGTTTGCTTCTTTGCCTTTTTTGGTAAAATAGTTTCAGAGGTGTTTTTTTCTCGTGTTTTAATAGTTGAAGAAAAATTTTTAAATAAAAAAAGAGGGCTCAGGATAGAACCCTGAGCAAAAAATGATGATAAAAAGGATTTAGAAATTGATAGATCATCTATTTGCACAATTTAGCCCATTCAATGAACGGTGACGTGAAACTTTTGCGAACAACCTTCCATCAACGACTTCACTGATAATTTTTTTAATTTAATTGCCATTCATTTATCAACAAAATACAAATTTCTAATTATAATATGCCTGTAATCAACAGAAAAAATAAGAACAATTACAAATGAAACAATAACAATTAATAAAAGTATTATATTATAAATGTGTAATATAACGTCATTATTCACATCATCGTAGTGTTACAATAATTAATATTAACATTGTAACGAAATATGTTGTATTAAAAGCAATAATTATTGGTAAATGCAGTTTGTAATCAGTGCTAGATCACTGCGATCTACTTCCATCAAAAAATTAAATGGCGTAATAACAATTATAAAACCAACACAATCACACACACACACACACACACACACACACACCACACATACACATGTGTCTACACAATTTATATAAGCACATAATTATTTTATAGATTCATTTTATGATGAACGACAAAACCGAATAAGATACAATCATTGCCAGTTCAATTTAATTCACGAAAAGAGTTCATATGAAAGTAACAGTAGTGGTAGTAGTAGTAGTAATTAACTATTAGATATTCACAATTGATGCAATCTGTTACATGAATATATAGATTTTATTGTATTTACACTGGGGCGACGAAATGAAAATATAAATTAAACAACATAAATATTTAATTAATGATTGAATGGATGAATGAATCGAGGAAAACACAAATGAATGAATGATAGAATGGATACCACAAAAACACTCATTTCTCCTCAATAAGTCTTCCTTTTTATTAAATGTATATTCTCATTTCCTCCTACGTAATCTCTCTCTCCACTTTGATTAATGGTGATGATAACACATCGTAACACTAACAACAACATTAACAATATATATATATATATATATATATATATATATATTCTCGCAAAGCATATAAATATATATATATTAGAAATACCCAATCTTCGAATAAACAGACTTGAAAAATAAAAATAGTTATTAAATATATATATATATATATATATATATATATATATATATTGTTATAATATTCGCTGTCGTAACCGGTTTACGATGCGACGGGTTCAAATCTTCGTCAATGAATAAAATACTCCAAACAGCTATTAAACTTTATTTACAGAAGAAATCAACTAATCGTATATTTCCAGTAAATTCGCACTAACGCAACAATTAACTTTTAAATCTTTCAAAATCTATCGCTATGACAACGTCAACAAACAATTCAAATATCGCTTTAAATAATTCACCGAATCGCTATTCACAAAATCACGAATTTCACTAATCACGAATATCCCAATCACGAATATCACCAAAACCAAATATCTTGCGACGTGCGCTTATATACTTTTCGCAAGCGTCGTTTCTAGATTCTTCCCGATGGTCCGATTCCAGCATACTCTAGAACGTTCCAGTCACTAGAACATTCTAGAATACGCTAGAATCTAGTGCGTTCGGTAGCACGGTTATAACATTACCCCCTTCTTAGTTCTGTTCGTCCCGAACAGCTTTCGTTCCGGTGTCCGCATGGTACGGAGCCAGTCTATCCAAATGGACGATCTTCATTCTTGCTCTCGGCTTTCGATATTCCTGAATACGGTAGACGACGTCATTCAAGCGGGTGATGACTTGATAAGGTCCTTCCCACCCTCGCTGGAGCTTTGGAGAACGTCCTTTCTTCCGCTGTGGGTTGTACAGCCAAACTAACTCGTCGACAGCAAAACCGCCACTGCTTCCTTTCAAGTCGTATCTGGTTTTGGCCGCCTCCGTGTTTTTCATAATTTTAAGGCGTACGTAACGGTGGATATGGTTTAATCGCTGTCGAAGATTATCCACGTATTCTGTTAATGGTTGGTGTGGTTCGGGTGGTACGCCATATTTCACATCAGCTGGAGTTCTTAAGGTAGTCCCAAATAGAACTCTTGATGGCGTTTCTCCAGTAGTTGTGTGGATAGCACTCCGGTATGCCATAAGAAACAATGGTATATGACGATCCCAATCCCGTTGATTTTCGTCGACTACTTTAGCCAGATGTTCAATCAGGGTTTGGTTGA